ATCACGTAACAATTGAAAGATCAAAACCCGTTCAGAAAACTAACAACTATGGATCAAGGCACGCTTCCACATTTTTATTATTCTCTTTGATTTCAACATGGAGATTCCATGTATTTTGTGAAATGATTGATGAATTTGGTTCCTTTCAATTTCCTAAAATAAATACTTCATTATTTCTTAGAATGATTTTTATTTTTATTTTTATTTATTTATTTTTTTAGTGAAAAATAATACTCTTTTTAGATGACTAGATTATACAACAAAGACTTTCCAAATTCTTTTCTGTTTTCACGTAAGAAAATGAAGCTCAAAATAAGAAAGGTCAAAGAAAGAAAAGAGAAAGTCAAACAAAGTGGCGGCCGAGATAATCTACTTAACCGTGCATAATAATCTTCATCAAGGAAAAGGGGGTCCACTGACCTATCAACGGGCTCCATTTGCTACAGCATCCGCAAGTGATGTTCGCTCACCTACCGAATCCATACGGTTTCGAGGCACATGTCCAATAAAATTTTCGTACACGTGCAAAATTGCTCAACATGGAATCACTTGTACTAAAATAAGCTAAACTTTTTGTGATATTAACAAGATTGGGTTTTGCCAAATGTTTGATTAAATCGGAGAGGACTTTAAAATTTGATCCAATATTGTATGCGATCTCAAGTTTAGGTCATCCTTTCCAAATTGACACTTGAAACAATGGTAATGAAATTAATGAAAAACTTTGGTAATTTCAATGAAATTTGATCTTACCAAAATGTGAAATTTTTTGGGATATAGTGCAAAGACTATATTTATCTGTTATGTTTTGCGATATGTATTTATGATGTTCTAGAAATTTCACATTCAAAGCGTATCATAAACGACTATATTTTTATCTCATTGCCTTGATAACAACTAGAAATGTCAAGAGATCGATTATATCATATTTGACTTTAGAAACCTGTAACTTGATGTAGGGTTCATTTCATATGACTTTTAAAAATCATAAAGTTTCTTTTGATACTAATTATAACCTTTTTAAAATATATTTATTAAATTTTTGGAAATGCTTTCATTTGGTTAGAAAAGTTTTTAGAGAAAGTTGATAGTTAGCCTAAAGTAATTTTTCCCCTAAGTTCTTCTACGAGAAATAGTAGTCTTGCCAAACAAACTCATAGGATATTGCCACCACTTTTGTCCAAAAACTAATTGATGGTACAAATGCAATACCCTTTATACCACCTAAAATTAAGTTCGAGAATCCAGCATAAGCCAAGTATGCAAGTCCATATCTATTATAAGCATGTTCCTATATTTTTCATCCATTCCACGAGAATATCCCAATATTAAACACACGGCCTCTAACTTTGATACCAACGTGAAGTATTGTATTGTCGTTGTCCAAAAGTTATGGATGATTGTACAAATGACCCATACCACCTAGAATCAACACACGAGCATGAACGAAACAGTGCCCCCTGAAGGATTGGCCTAGGATGGATTCTTGGTCTTGATTTGAATTATATATGGTGGATTGTATTACTGTCATGAGCTATAACTTTTGTGTAAGATGATGACAATATTTACATTAGTTTTCATTAGAATTGAATGTCTTGTGTTCGAGTTGAAGCTGAACCTATAATGAGCGCATAATGTAGTGTAGGACATGCTTGAAATGAGGCAACCTTGATAGACTTGGCTTAAGGCGAATTCATGGACATAATATTGAATGATATATGGTGGATTTGCATCAGTGCCATGAATTATAATTGTTAAGTAAAACAATGATAATACCCTACATCTTGTTGAAACGCCAATTTCACAATCATGAACACGAAATTAAATTGATGATAACATTAAATTATTAATATCAAAGATTTATTCAATCGTAGCATCTAATTCTCATAACATGACACCGGAAGAAAGTTGTGTTCACTAATTCTTATTTTTGAAACTCAAACAACGTAAATTAACAAGGAAATAGCCGAATCGGTGATACCTTGTGAAAGCACATTACATATTGGACCCTAGAAATTTTCTGTATCCGAATAGTGATTCTATGTAAGAGAACAAAAAAATTGGTGCTTCGTGGCATACTAAGAAGCATTTATTATATGGACCCGCGTGAAGTCCTATGTACCAGATCACACTCACCTCATGAACCTGAGAAACGAAACCATACTCGCGGTACTCGCTCGTGTAGCACACAAGTACAAACAACCTCAGCAAATTGCCACGTCATCTAAAATCAAGGGTATTATAGGAATTAAACTATTCTTTGATTTCTTACACGCTCACTACCTTCGTCTCAACTCTCTCCCTGGAAATTATTTCTATATGTTTTCCTCTGTCTTTCTCTAGCCTTCCGCCGTCGCCGGGAAGTTCCTAGCTACTGTTGTCTCCGCCGGCAGCTGTTTCTACACTCTGCTGGGAAAAGACTCAAGCAGTCGTGTTTCAATCCATCGCGACATTCACCAGAAAAGGGCTGTCCTTTGACTTTTAAGCATCAAGGAAACTGGTAGTATAAGTTTTAGGATGGCGTTTTGCGGTCAATTTATTCAGATCTGAGGGGGAAAACGGGCGGTGGTTTAGTGCTGTTGCATGTTGGAGGGATTTTTTGTAATTTAAGAGGTGAGGTGTAGATGGTACTTTGCGGCCTTGGAGGCGCATGATAATGAGCGGAGGGAGATGGCGGTGGCGGTGGTGTGGCGGTGACCGTTTCACATTGAATGGCAGATCTTGTTAGGTATGGTAATGCCAACCGTGACATCGAGCAGGTATTTTAGTTCTCTCTGTCTCTCTCAACACTTTCAAAGATTAGAAATAAGAACTTTTTGTTAGATTGGTCTTTTTTTTTTTCGTTGCCAAAGGTGAAGAACTTCTAACCTACTTTCTTAGAATTTGATCATTGGGAAGAGGTCGTATCTGTAACTATGCATTTTTTTTTCATGAATTGGTGAAATTCAACCGTTTCATTTAGAAGAACGAAGTCTTTTCTTCTGGAATCTGTTTATTCTGTGATTTTTTTCAACTCTATCCTATTTTTAGTAAATTTAACCCTTTATATTTTGTAGTAGCTCATAAAAATGGGATCTTTACACTGGCAGATTGTCGGAATTTGGTGAGCCCAAAATATCTGAGTAATTATCTATTTTTCTACTGTGTAGGAGCTGTGCTTTTCTATTTGGTGCGTATTTTTTCCGCTATATGTTAGAAATTATTGTTGCATACAAGGGAATGGAGAAGAAAGCAAAGTAGAAATAACAAGAAGATGAAAATGAAAATGAAGGCTCAACCATGTTATCTTTGTCCTCAAACGATATTTGCCCCCTCAGATTAAATTTTGGTGTTTAAAGGGATTATGGGCAAATGTTTTGCTGCATTAATCAAGCCTTATAAAGGATTAAACACTTAAGCACTTGGTGTTATCCTTCAAAATTTGAGAATGCAAAATAGGATTTGAATATGAAGAGAAAATTGATTTTCAATACTTTTTGGAATGAAGTAAATGATCTCAAATGTGGCCATGGCCCCGCTTGTTTCCCGTCAATGTAAGAATGAGAATGAAAATATAGTCTTTATGAGCTCCACACAAGGGATAAAAATTCAAATATAGTGGTTTGATGTAATGGATAACGATCATAATTTTCATTTTAATGGTCAAATAATAGGAAACAAATAGGGGCTATATGTTTCTATATGTTTTTCAAGTTTTTATTTTTTTTATCATCAACCACATGTATATAGCATTAAACAATGTCATACAAAGTGGTGCCAAAAAACACTTGAAAAGGCTCCTAGATTCAAATGAAAACAGTCATAAATGGCTAGACAAACCTTCTATGCGGTCGCATATAGTACTCCTTTGCAACCGCATATCTATATGTTAGAAATTATTGTTGCATACAAGGGAATGGAGAAGAAAGCAAAGTAGAAATAACAAGAAGATGAAAATGAAAATGAAGGCTCAACCACGTTATCTTTGTCCTCAAACGATATTTGCCCCCTCAGATTAAATTTTGGTGTTTAAAGGGATTATGGGCAAATGTTTTGCTGGATTAATCAAGCCTTATAAAGGATTAAACACTTAAGCACTTGGTGTTATCCTTCAAAATTTGACAATGCAAAATAGGATTTGAATATGAAGAGAAAATTGATTTTCAATACTTTTTGGAATGAAGTAAATGATCTCAAATGTGGCCATGGCCCCGCTTGTTCCCGTCAATGTAAGAATGAGAATGAAAATATAGTCTTTATGAGCCCCACACAAGGGATAAAAATTCAAATATAGTGGTTTGATGTAATGGATAACGATCATAATTTTCATTTTAATGGCCAAATAATAGGAAACAAATAGGGGCTATATGTTTCTATATGTTTTTCAAGTTTTTATTTTTTTTTATCATCAACCACATGTATATAGCATTAAACAGTGTCATACAAAGTGGTGCCAAAAAACACTTGAAAAGCCTCCTAGATTCAAATGAAAACAGTCATAAATGGCTAGACAAACCTTCTATGCGGTCGCATATAGTACTCCTTTGCAACCGCATAGAACAACTCACTGCAGGGCTTTAGGTCCTGCAAATGCCCATGCGACCGCAGTTCTTTTTGGACTATGCGGTCGCATAGGCCAAATATTAGCCCCCCAATATGTTTTTTCATTCCATACTCGTTTGATTGACTTTTGAACAACAATATACAACACTAGACATATGGAATGTTAAAATTAGAGTAATTTGAGGTTTAAAACATGCAAGAACCTGTTTGTGAGCAGTATTTTCAATTTCATTGACGTACAATTACTTTCCCTTTTGTCCTTCACCATTAACAAAACGAGGAAGAATTTCCACTAATAATTTTATAGTCTAAGAATTATGATACAGTATTATATGGGATTGATAGGAATATGGGCTGCTGCTTTGAACTTCAAATGCTTTTGGGGATTCTTCTATGGTTAATATATATATGACTAAACATGTAGATGTATATGTTTAGCTGATGTGGTTGAAAGGACTGCAGGGCTGTCTCGACTGCATAGAAAATATCTGTATTCATCAATATCAAATTAGTGGGATCAAACATACATATTATTATTTATGTTATGATGAAGCAAAGTGCACGTGTTAAATAGACATGTGCAAGAAGCTATGTGAACCTACTGGAATAAATACATGGAACAAATGTAAGACAAATCTCTAAGGGCGGACATGTACTATAGACGTGTGCAAGAAGCTACTTGAACCTACAGGCGTGAAAAATGGAACAAATGTAATACAATTGTCTAAGTTCAATTTAACATACGATTGTAATATGGACACGTGCAAGAAGCTACATGAACCTACCAACATGGAAAATGGACAAATTTGAGACAATTCTCTAAGTTCAGTTTAACATTCAAATGTAAATTTATATGTATACAACATGGTGTATTTATACCCGTCTTTATGTCTTTTTCTATATTCAAGTGCTTGCGCCAGGCTTTTTTTTAAATTTATTTTTTATTTATTTTTCTAATTTACATGGTAATTATTACATCAGCAAATGTTTGTTTAAGAAATATTTACGGTAATTCTCAAGATTATTTGACATTTTTTACTAGTGAACATTGCACAAAATCTCACCATAAAAGTTCATAGAGAACATTGTGTTGAAAAAAATTGAAGAAGTTGCTCTAGTTCGTGCATTGCATTTACTTATTCAGCAACATGGGAAAAGGCAAGACTAGAAAAGTAGGGAGAACATTAGGAGTTTGAGTGCTCTTAAATTCTCATCCCTCAACAAATTTCCTTGTATTCTACTATTGTTAACGAAACGTATATGATCATGCTTCCCTTATCTTTTAGTGTGTTCTATATGGTGTATTTTATTTTCTTTTTATGTGATATGATGCTCTATTTTACTATTTAAGAAAACCATCTTTTCTCTATAATTTTGTCAACATGTCAATAAGTGTCTTGCATGGGTCTGATAAGAGTTTGATGACTGACAACTGTGCAAAATAAAACTTGTATTTTTCAACAAGACATGGATGGAGGAGTACCAGATTAATGCCCAAGGTTGTCCAGATGTGTCTGTGCCGACACTTCATTATTGTTCTGAAAATATTTATATTTCTTATTAGAGATGGCTTCACAATCTATTTAGCTGCTTAAGACTGATATAGCCCCAGTTTGGAGGTAATTAAAATCTGGAGATTAATCCAGATTAAAATCCGGATTTTAACCACATATTCATGGGTCCCACAACTTTTCAATGACACATTTCATCGACTTTTATCAATATCTACTAAATGCTTGATTTTAATCCGCATCAAACAGGGGCATGATGTTATTTTTCTGAAATTATGTCATTCTCTGTTTATCAACTTATGTTTGAAGCTGTAAATGCCTCTATTAGTGATTGATCCCCTATTACATTTTGCAGGCGCTGATTGCTCTAAAAAAGGGTGCTCAACTACTTAAATATGGTCGTAAGGGAAAGCCTAAATTTTACCCGTTCAGACTCTCTAACGTAAGTTATGTATACTTGATGCATAATTAGGACTCACCCGTTTATTTGGTTGTAAGATCTCCTGAGAAATGGGTAAAGATGTTTTTGCATAAACAGATTGAGATGATATTATCCGCACTTTCGTTATTAATATTACTTTGTAATTTTTCCCTTTTTCTTTTGCTTTACTAGCATTTCATGGTTCTCTGGTGATGCAAGTTATAATTTCTATACCTCTAGTTTTCTCAGAACATAGGTGATTTTTTCTAAGAGCTGATATAACACTATATTTTAAAAAATATCTAGTAAGAAATATTTTAAAAAATATCTAATAAGAAATAAAAGTACGCTATTATTGAAATACTTATTGGGGTTGATTAAATGAAATGGTTTATATTCACAATATTAGGAGAAAAAATAAAACGATGATTATTTGATAGTTGACAACTCTCACATTAAAAGGATGAACTATCTACATTCTTGATCAGAGAAGGAAACAAAAGTATTAGATATGGAAAATCGAATGGCCTAATCTAAGATGCCATAACATTATTTGACTCTTAACAGGCATTGAACTACAACTACTATCCAGTGCTTGAGCTTGTTTATTTATAAGAGAGTTTTCATCGAAATAATGGAGTCCACTTACCATCTAGCTTTGCCAAATCACCTTCTCCAAATTCAAATCCTGAAAAACACAACGGGATTCAAAAATTTTAGCAATACAGTTTGAGTCTCTAGTCAATTTACTGGTAGATAACAAATTCTGAGAGAGATCTGGCACATGAAAGACTGATTTTATTTCAATATTTTCTGAGATATGGAACGTTTACCTGCAATAGGTGACGAACTACCATCAGCAATCCTAAATTTCGAAATTACTAATACAAGTTGAATAGAATATAAATAAATATGGTAGACTAGTAGTGATCAGTTGCACTAGAGTCAATGATCTAAGTTACTGTAGTAGAGGAACTAGTTAATGCACTTAGGAGTATACCTGTCTGTGCTACTGAACCTGTAGGGAGTTTAGATGACTTATTGGCGCTCAGCAACTTAAGGAGGTGTTCTATTTTTTATTTATTAAATAGGACAGCAACCTCATTACCAGTGCCAGCTTGCATTTCATACCCTCCTTGTCACCAAATCGCCTACCCTTCCAACATGCTGTTTTCCCATGAAGTTTCCTGCACATTTCTCTCATTTATCCTGGTTTGTTATGGTAGTCACGCCGCCGAGGCTTATCTTCAAAATTTCCTTGGATCTGGATTAGCATTAGGATGAAAGCCAGCAGCAGCACAAATTCTGAGAGAGATTTGGCACATGAAAGACTGATTTTAGTTCAATATTTTTCTGATATATCTATGGAACCTTTACCTGCAATAGTTGACGAACTACCATCAGCAAACTATAAAAGGTGAACAGTATTTAAGTAAATATCGTAGACTAGTCATGTGATCAGTTGAACCAGAGTCAATGATCTAAGGTACTGTAGTAGAGGAAATAGTTAATGCACATAGGAATTTACCAGTCTGTGCTACTGAACCTGCAAGGAGTTAATGACTGATTAGCACTCAGCAACTTATGGAGTTGTTCTATTTGTTCTTTACTAAATGGGACAGCAACCTCGTTATCTCTGCCAGCTTGCATTCCATGTCCTGCTTTGTCACCAAATCGCCTACTCTTCCAATATGCTAGTTTCCCATGAAGTTTCCAGCACATTTCTCTAGTATGTCCAGGTTTGTTACTGTAGTCATACCACCGAGGCTTATCCTCAAATTTTCTTGGAGTTGGGTTAGCTTTAGAATGAAATCTGGCAGCTGAACTGCCTTCAGCATCCAAGAATTTGGTGGCATTCGATGGTCATTAGAATTCATGATGTTTTGGATATCTGTTGTTTTGAAGGGTATATGTAATAACTAGTTGAGTTGCTACTGCTTCCTATTAACCATCAGTCCCTAATTTTTCATATCATCACGACTTCTCAAACTATTTTAAGTTTTGTTCTTATTTTGTTTCTTCGACATGCAAGTAGTTGATTTATTGTTAATATTGCAGGATGAAACATCTTTAATTTGGATTTCTAGTAGTGGTGAAAGAAATTTAAAGTTAGCTTCAGTTTCAAGAATTATCCCTGGACAGAGAACCGTGAGATTTCATAGACCTCAGCTCATGTTCCTAAGTCATTTTAAAACAAGTTTCGATAGTTTATAAGTTTTCCTCAACTTCTTTCTGTGTTTCTAGGCTGTTTTCCAACGATATCTGCGTCCTGAAAAGGACTATTTATCCTTCTCTCTCATATACAACAATGGGAAAAGATCTCTTGATCTGGTTAGTGGTTGATTGATTTCTGTTATTAAATAAATATTGCATTTTCTCTGTATTTTACATGGAAGTTGTGCCTATTCTTTGTTGTATAATTAGATCTGCAAGGACAAAGTTGAGGCAGAGATCTGGATAGCTGGCCTTAAGGCTTTAATATCATCTGGACAAGCTGGGCGGTCAAAAATAGATGGATGGGATGATGGAGGGCTCTGTTTTGATGCAAGTCTTGCAACCTTGCATTATCTATCTGCTAATGATCATGTGGTTTATTCTTTCTTTTGGGATCATACATTGAAATAATATACTGTTATGTTTCTTGATTAGCTAACTAGGATAGAGTTCAGGTTTGCCAATCATTTTGTTTTGCTTGCACATAAATTATCCAGTCCTTACAACATCAAAACTTGGAGATCATCATAAAAAGATTTTTGGGATATTTTGATTTCCTCGGTATATCATTTAGTGTAAAACTTCTTGTACTTAGATTGAGAAATCTTACATTTGAAAAAAGGAGTTATGTGACGCCAAATTTTTTGGGATAAAGCTTAGTTTGTTGTTGCATATCCTGAAACAGGTTGATCCCTGTGCTTGATGCAATTTTTGTTAGAATATTCTAGTGCATTTGTTTTCCAATCGGATGTGATGGGAAAACAGTTGATTTCTTATTGTTTTTTTTATGCATCTTCTGCTGCTACTAGTGTAATATTTCGAATGAGAAAAATTATATTGGTGATGGTCTTGGTGATGTTAAAACACAAACATTACTGTCATGTTAACTTGTGATTCCTAATCAAATGATACCAGGATAACAGAGATTTGACTTCAAATAGTCCAGGCAACAGTTCTGTGAGTGCTGCACGAGAGGTTAGCTCTCCCGAGGTTTCTGTCAAGTTGAGCATAAATCCTTCACAAAACAGCTATCGCATGGATAATTCGGTGCATTCAGAAAGTTCACATGTAGCTTTGGATCACACAAACATGCAGGTGAAAGGATCTGGTTCAGACACTTTTCGAGTGAGTGTTTCTAGTGCCCCCAGTACTTCCAGTCATGGTTCTGCACCAGATGATTGTGATGCTCTAGGGGATGTGTACATATGGGGTGAGGTCATATGTGATAATGTTGTCAAGGTTGGGCCAGAGAAGAATGCTAGTTCAGTGAGTACGAGAGCTGACGTGCTTCGTCCCAGGATATTAGAATCTAATGTTGTTCTGGATGTCCATCATATTGCTTGTGGGGTGAGGCATGCTGCATTAGTCACCAGGCAAGGTGAAGTCTTTAGTTGGGGTGAAGAATCTGGGGGGCGGCTTGGCCATGGAGTTGGGAAAGACGTTACTCAACCGTGTCTTGTGGAATCTTTATCCTTTTGCAGCGTTAATTTTGTAGCGTGTGGAGAGTTTCACACTTGTGCTGTTACGATGGCTGGTGAACTTTATACATGGGGAGATGGTACACATAATGCTGGCCTCTTGGGTCACGGCACTGATAACAGTCACTGGATACCAAAGAGAATTTCAGGATCCCTTGGGGGACTTCAAGTTTCAAAGGTTACGTGTGGTCCATGGCACACTGCCTTGATAACTTCAACAGGACAACTCTTTACATTTGGGGATGGAACCTTTGGTGTTTTAGGCCATGGTAATCGGGAAAATGTCTCATACCCAAGAGAGGTTGACTCTCTTTCAGGGTTGAGGACTATTGCCATTGCTTGTGGAGTATGGCATACTGCTGCTGTGGTTGAGGTTATTGTAACACAGTCCAATGCAAGTGTTTCATCTGGAAAATTATTCACGTGGGGTGATGGTGATAAAAACCGTCTTGGACATGGTGACAAAGAACCTCGACTGAAACCTACTTGTGTGCCTGCACTTATTGATTACAATTTTCACAAAATTGCCTGTGGACATAGTTTGACTGCAGGCCTAACTACATATGGGCAGGTTTTCACAATGGGAAGTACAGTCTATGGTCAGCTTGGAAATCCTCAGTCTGGTGGAAAGCTACCTTGCTTGGTAGAAGACAAGCTTGCTGGTGAATCTATTGAAGAAATTGCTTGTGGTGCATATCATGTGGCTGTCTTGACATCCAAAAATGAGGTCTACACATGGGGAAAAGGGGCCAACGGAAGGTTGGGCCAGGGAGATATAGAAGACCGGAAAACGCCAACACTAGTTGAAGCTTTAAAGGATAGGCATGTTAAATATATTGCTTGTGGATCAAATTTCACAGCTGCTATATGTCTTCATAAATGGGTTTCTGGTGCTGAGCAGTCTCAGTGCTCGGCTTGTAGACAGGTTTTTGGCTTCACGAGGAAGAGGCACAATTGCTATAACTGTGGACTAGTACACTGTCATGCTTGCAGTTCTAGAAAAGAACTACGAGCTGCATTGGCACCTAATCCCAGCAAACCATATCGTGTTTGTGATGCCTGTTTTGCTAAACTAAGTAAATTGGCAGAAGCCAGGGTCAATAGCCGGAGAAATGCTGTACCACGCCTTTCAGGTGAAAACAAGGACAGGTTGGACAAGGCTGATCCGCGATTGGGCAAGTTGGGAATGCCATCCAATTTTGATTTAATTAAACAGTTAGATACAAAAGCGGCTAAACAAGGAAAGAAATCGGATACATTTGCTTTGGTCTGTTCCTCTCAAGTGCCTTCTTTGTTACAGCTACGAGACGCTGTAATGTCTACAGCTGTTGATGCTCGTCGAACAGTTCCAAATCCAGTTCTTGCACCATCTAGTGTTAGTTCCAGGTCTGTGTCCCCCTTCTCAAGAAAATCCAGCCCTCCGAGATCTGCAACACCTGTCCCTACAACTTCAGGGCTTTCTTTTTCCAAAAGCATTACGGATAGTTTGAAGAAGTCTAATGAACTTCTGAATCAAGAAGTACATAAATTGCGTGTACAGGTACATTCCAAATTTCAATCTTTGTTTCATCTTTTAGAATTAATTTCTCAATGTTAATCTTTTTTATTTTGATGATAGATTGAGAGCCTTAGAAATCGATGTGAACTGCAAGAATTGGATATCCAGAAATCAGCTAAGAAAGCTCAAGAAGCAAAGGCATTAGCTGCAGAGGAATCTGCTAAATGTAAAGCTGCAAAAGAAGTGATACAGTCACTTACTGCACAGGTGAGGTTAAGCTTTAGATTTGTATTGGCTTCTCTTAAATTGAACACTCGAATGTGCTCTGGAGGAAAAAAAAGTTTATTGGGCGGTTATTCCTGTGATCCAATTATGTTCCTGGTGTTTATACAGTATGGATATCACGTGGAATTCTTTAGGCTGCCTTGATTTCTTCTCCCGCCATAGACACCTACACTCAACTAAATTACCGTGTTTTGGAGGCTATTTGAAGCCTCTCTATTTGTCTGCGCTCATATTTTTACCTTTTGGTGTGAATATATGTTTGATTTGGTCTGTTATAAGAACTTCGCTCTTGTATCTTTCTATTTTTTATTTATCATCAGTAAGATAAAGGTCAATAATTGCCGGAAAAAATATGCTCTGTTGATTTCTCTCATTTTCTCAATTTCCAGCTCAAAGATATGGCTGAAAGATTACCACCCGGGGCTTATGATTCTGAAAGCATCAAGCTGGCTTACCTACCAAATGGTGCGGAACCAAATGGCATACACTACACTGGTGCAAATGTAGAAAGGAATTCAAGATCTGATACGATCAATAGCTCATACATGGCTTCCCACCTTGGAATTGACTCCACTACTGCAAATAGAATTTGCAATGAAAGTAAATCTGGTGCTCAGGGACTTGGATTTTCTGCAATCAATGGGATGAATGAACGCTCGGACGTCAGACTTCCTAATGGATGTGAAGATGTTCAGGCTTATAGGAATAGCGCTGAAAGTATCAACACTAAAGCATCTGTTCCTCAAGACGGTGAAAATGTCTTGAAATCAAGAAACTCGGTTCCTGGTAATGCTAGTCAAATTGAGGCTGAGTGGATTGAACAATACGAACCTGGTGTGTATATAACACTTGTAGCCCTTCGAGATGGAACTAGGGATCTCAAACGTGTTCGCTTCAGGTATCCGGAATCTTAATTGTTTATTCTAACGTCAAATGTATTTTTCTTTTAAAAAAGGGTATTTATTATATAATTGGTTAGATAAGACTTTCTTTAACTATTATAATTCGCTAATTAACACTTAATTTTACTGAAAATTGTTCTCAAATCTCATTTAGTGCTGTTGATTTTGGTCTAAGCAATGTTCGTTCATATAGTTGCAACTTCATTAAAGTCAGAAAAGTTGTAATTAATGTTGACTTCTTTCTTCTATATGCAGCCGGCGAAGATTCGGGGAGCACCAAGCAGAGACTTGGTGGTCAGAGAATCGTGAAAAAGTTTATGAGAGATACAATGTTTGTGGATCGGACAAATCATCAGTTTCCGGCCAGGATATACGTAGGTTCGAGGGAGCTGTTTCACCATCTTCCCAAGTATAGGTACAAAGTAAAGAAAAAATCTCCATTTATGCCAGTGCAGGTTCTCATAGTGGGGGAAATAGACATCCTTCTTTTTTTGGCCCTTCCCTCATTTTTCTTATCCTCCTCTCTTTAAATTTATCTTCTTCCTGATTTATTTCTGGGGAGTCCATCGTTTTTTGTTACCTGCTGCAGTGTACATAGACATGTCGATTATTATATGCTAGAAAGTTTTTGTGCCTGGTTTTTCCCCCATTTTCTGCGTAGCTTATACATCGGGTTTTTATTACCACTTGCATGATTTTCAAGTTCAAAATTTCGAATCAAACAATCAGAGAAACCTCTCTTGTTTTTGCTCAGCCAAAAACGCTTGAGATTTCTTTAGGGTCTATCTGCGACATTTATTGACTGAGTAGTGCACGATATTCTTTTAATAATCAACCAAAAGAATATAATAGAAAACATACTGAAGCAAGGGCAACATTGTTTATTCTTCTGGCAAAGGTAGTGGCAGAAAACAAGCCTTCTACATGAATAGGTCTAATGACAGAATTTTTTACAGGATCACACGTGTTGTTTTTTCATTTGACAGCTAGAAAAAATAAAGGCTGCCAGACGGGTCAAATGCCCCTGTTTGAGTAGCTCTAATCAGCAGAAAATGACTGGTTCTTGTCAATTAGAGGGCAATGTTACTTGTAAAAGAATTCATAATGGAGTGCCTGTACTAAAAGATATTGACCTTGATGATGATTCACGAAGTTTCATAAATTTTGATTTTACAAAAAACGTAATATGATTACCGGTGCAGGTTGGGTCAGCCTCGATCCAAACTTAGCTAAACATGTTAATTTATAATCAAGTTGAGTTACTTGTCGATGAATTTTTGAGTGTGTTATTCCTTTTACGCTAGGGCAATTTCAGGTGCTGCGTTGACAGCACTTGTATGGTTGCTATTTTTTATTTTTATTTTATTAATGTCTAATGAAAAAATATAAAGTGTTGCTCATTACAAATCATGTACATCTCTTTTGTAAACATAGCATAGCTTTTTTGAGATTCAATAACAGTAGGTTTTTCAATCAACTGTATCTTGAATTTCCCTCCAATGGTAGAAACCCAATTTCAAATTATGTACCAAACTTTGACATTATGCACCTTTATTTTAAGTCTTTCCCATTTCTCAGTTGACTTCAAAGAAAATGAGACATAGTGCATAAGTGGTTTTGTTTAGCATGTTGGACATGTTATCCAAATTTATTAATATATTTTGATTTCTCTTTAAATCAATCAATCAACAAAATCTAATGACCCGAGTTAGTTAGTACTCATTCAAGGTTTTTCAAAAGTCCACTTTCTAGAAAACATGTCAAGAAATATGTGCATTCATCTATCAACATGATATGATAAGCATAAGTGAATATGTTTTCAGCAGCTCGTGTCCATGAACTAAAATCTATGGGCCAAATCCTCTACTAGTACATTGACATTCGTGTGATCTACTCTAGCTTTGATCGTTACAAAAGGCGTTTGTATGTATGCATGTATGTATATTCATTTTTCAGGCTATAAAGTAGCTTGACAATGCATTCCAATAGCTTCTCAACAGAACACCTAATAGATGACTCATATAAAACTTTACACTTTTATTTGGAATTTGCTACTTGTACATAAAAAAGTAAATAATGATTACATAATTTTTTATTTTTTATTTTTTTATTTTTTATTTTTTTGAGGAGGGGGGACGAGATTTGATGAATAAGTTGATTGTATTTTAAACTGGCAAAGGGATAGTGCCACGTGGCTTTATGTAATTATGTAAATCTATACATTACATCTTTAAGGTGACCCCTGGCAGCCCTGTAATCCAATGTCATTGTGCTTCCTCGAAGGACCTGAAGGTGGCACCGGCATTCCTTCCGGCAAAAACCCTAAGAAGTTGCCCGGCAGAACGAAAGATTTAGGCTTAACCTTAAGAAATCGTGTATGCCTAGCACTGTGAACTTGATCAACCTGCTGAAATATTAACATAGTGACTAGTAATATCAACATAGTGGGCATTATTAGAGGCTTTTTAGCCATCTCAGAAGAGGGCTAATAAGTTTTGGGAAGAAAAATAATTGAGGGGGGGGGGTGTGGGGAGGAGAGAGAGAGAGAGTGTGTGTGTGTGTGTGCGCGCGCGCGCGCGCATGAGTAGGTTCCAAGATTTGAAATAATATACTACGTATGGGGTTGAAATATTGCATTAGTTGGTAAAAGACTCAAAGGAAGGGTTTCTTTTCTTGACCTTGTCTGAATATATATATATATATATATATACACTATGTTATATTAATATGTATAGTAACGTAGATGTTATAATGTCACAAGTATGGCTAAGCCTTTTAGTAATTGTTTCCAAAGGCGGTATTCAGTGGCAGCTGCCCGTGCGGGATTTGAGCGGCCATTCTCACGGCCCCGTGCTCAATATTCATCTTGGATCCGCAAGTGATCGTCTTTTTTTCTTTTTTTTTATATTAATTAGTAAGTGTGTAAAGTTTTGATTAATGAAGAAAAAAGTCATTTACTGCATTGTTTTGATTTTGGTAGTGCCTACTAAAAAAATTTCTAGACATGCAAAATCGGCCAACGGAACCGGGATACGTGGCCTTAGATGCCACATTCTTCTTATGAAGAAACAAAACAAAATATACCACCAAGACAAATACCATGTCTGCTAAAAACTTGTAAAAGGGCTTACATGTGTAAAGAGACATCACAGTTATAAGGGCTGGGGGAGATATTTTTAGTTACAACAAATCCTGACCTATTTAAAAGAACTTCATAATCAATAACCAAAGCTGAATGTAGTCCAAAAGTTACACAAGAAAATGTATTATGTAAAAATATTCACAATCCTTTGAATTGGATATGTTTTAAATCAAATTGGACTGTAAATGCTACAGCATTAAAGCTAAACCTGTGTTTCAGATGGAAAATTGAAGGGGGTTACACCTACTCTTGCTGGTTTTGGAAATCCTTATCTCAAATAGCGTCAGCTCTCTTCACACCTAAACGATATGCTTGTCCATATCCCACACCAACAATGCACATAAACTAATTACTTCAATCAGACAATACTAGGTGCATCCCCTTCCCAATTGCAAACCGCACGATTCCAGCGAGTTCTAATGCAGTCGACCAACGGCGCATGTTGAGCAGGCTCAGGTTTAGATACTTCAACCGAATTCTGTTTCTCGCCAGAAGGCGCTGCTGATACATTTGCCATAAATTCCTCTGGCGTCCACCTTGGGGGAACTGAAACTCTCAATTTTGTTAGTCTAGGTCGTTGTATCGGATTTTCAGCTCCAGATGATGCCTGGCTGCCGTTCACAATTGATTTTGCTATCCCGTTAAAGTGGTAAAGATCAAAGACCTTCTTACCCATCAATCCAGACGAATCCTTCACACCACCTAAACTCTTGTCTATATCCAAGAGAACCTGCCAAAATTCACTCCAGACAATAAAACCCATGCCACATAGATGCTCAAGCTTCTCAGACGGAAGGTTAATGCTTGTTTCTTTTAGGACTTGATGGAAGCCTTCCACACTAATGAACCCACCACCTCCACTTTGGTCTTGGGCATCAAATGCTCTCCGGATTTGTGATTCTCTACTTTCAAGTTCGTTTTCGTCCTGGACTTTGTTATCAAGAGCAAATAACACCGTATAATGAGATTCACTTCCCACTACCCATATTGGCCACCTTGGACATTTCAGATACTGGCCAACCTTACAAAAATTGAGGGACTCTAGCAGAGTGAGGAATCCAACTTCCACAGGTGTAGAGATGCCATTCACAAACATGCCACCGCCTAAGTCCATCCTCCCATCAAACACATTAGCAGCAGCTTTTCCAGAAAGCAGTAGGTTTACAATTTCCTGTTTGAGAAAAGTCACGTTTAGGGATCATCAAGGGCAGTTGAAAGTGTAGGATATCAAGTTCTCGTACTGAGAACGATCTAATGAAATTTTCATCGATCTATAAATACCTGTGATGCATGCCCAAATGGAGCAGTTACCAATGGTTGACTGGGGTCATCCCTATCTGTTTGAACGTTGTCCTAAATGGTTTTTGAAGCATAAATAAATGCACTAGTCACATCAATGACAAAACAAAAGGTTAATGTAAATAACCAAAAAATAATATGTAGTGCACAGAGGCATGTAAACTATCTAAAACTTTGTTCCAGTTAACTTTAGAATAGACGCTAAGATTTTAACCAAGGGGGACTTGACCAGATTTCCTTTTAGCACACCAAATAAAGGCACGTCCATGTTCAATCAATGTATGTCCGAAGCTTTTCTTAGTTACAATAGTGAAAAAAACAAAACACACACCTGGGTTTTTGAACAGGAAAATAGTAGCTATAGTATGATATATATAACTTCGGGAAAAAAAAAATTAAAATATTCTCCTTTCACTAGCAATGGTTAAATCAAATAAAATCTAAAAACCACACCATGCCTAGAAACTTTTCCTGTCCCAGCTGCTGGATGTTTGACAAATTAATCTAACAAAATAAGAACATCACAACAGCATAAAGAAAAGCAATGAATTTTAAAAAAAAAAGGGTCAATTTTTGAGTATATTATAATTATCTCTGTTCATGACATGACACGGTAATTGCCTCTATCCTTTAGATGTTGAATTAATTCCACATGTTGTGAATGAGAAACCAGTATTATTTTCCGATTAATAAAAGTAAGAACAATCTCAAGAAAAAACCAGTGTATATAATATATCAACGTACCAGTCCTCTAGAAAGCAAGGCAGATATTAGAAAAAGCAATGCTCCCATACGACTACGGAAAGCAGGGAGCATTAATCGAAGCTTCTGAAATGCATTTGAGCGCGAAGTGCATGTGTGAACTCTCAGTACCTTCCGCAAGTCTGAGCCAGAATCAATTGAAAGATCTTCAAGTGCTTTTGCAATAGCCTGTGTAATAAGACAGAACAATTGCAAAAAGAAGGGACAAATATTGCAATCTTAACATATTTCCTACCCGACATAATAGTGCGCAACTTCAAAGCACGAGTAGTATTAGCATAATCAGTAGTAGTTTTTCATAAAAGAGATCAATGAAGATGATGTAACTGCATGATTCCACTTCATAACCCAATCAAATGTTACATGTGTGTGGAAAAGTAACTATGCTTACCTCATCCTCCAGGCATTCAACAGACCCCTCAATATCACCATCAAGAATATTTAGGGTTGATATTACAGTTTTTTCATTACTTCCACATAGAAAGAGTATCTCACTCATACTCCTCACCAAGGCTCTGTTTAGAAGCAGTAAATTTTACAAACAAGTTTCAGTAATGGAAAGAGACCAGTGAGTAAAAGAAAGAGAACCAAAATCTTCCAAATGAGCTAGCATTACTTTCCAGTTAATCACAGTAGGTAAGACTGCTAGATGATGCCTCATTCAAGAAAATACAAGATCCTGTATTGTGGTTCAGAATAGTTGTGCAAAATTTTGTTTAAACTTAGATTCTGTTTCAGTGTACAAATGAAAATTTTGGCTCAAGGTGAAATTCAGGTTGATACAAAATACCTAACTCTGATATGTGAATCAATGTGAAAAAAAAATTATGTTATCAGATTTTGTTACGTGACAATGGTGGAGAAAGTGAAAACCATATCAAAATATAAGCTGATAGAATTAATCAAAACAATTACTAGTAAATAAGTGTCACAAGAAAAGGCATAACAAAGTTTGGATTCAATAATAACTTTTCTAGATTGTGTAGTTTTTCCCTCTTTTAAGTTCTGGCACTGGAACTAAGTTGAAAGTAAAACCAAGTCTAATCGTTAAAATGATGGCAAATAAAGAGATCCATGACCTTGATTTTTTGTCTTTGGAAAGAGATGAAAAAATATCTCCCGTGACATATTCATTCTTGGACACTCTTCTCAAACCCAAACTTGTTGACATGTTCGGCGCAACTTCAGATTCCTCTGAAGGAAATAGAAGATATTTGAGTACAAAAGCCTGCATAGCCAACAGAATGTTTTGTTAGCAGAAGACTATACAACGTAAGACATGCATTCATTAACCTTAAAATCACACACCAACTATAGGACAAATTATTCATCATTATAACACTTTGGTTTAATCGAAAACCCTGTTCGCTTGTATAAAAATTGCTTTGCAGAAACCATCCCATCAACAATGATAAATCCTGGAAACTAGGTTAAATATGCCCACACCACTTGGATACGAGAGATTAACACACTTCATGTATTTTAGACATTAAATTACTTGTGGCAAAGATGACTAATGAGTGATTGCTCATCTCTCTAGCAACAAGTTCTAGCGTCTATGGTAGATGGACTCAAACAATGGCTTTCTCAACAGTCTTCCTGAAACATAATCTTGAGTTATAAAACACTGAACCTTCGAATTCCTAGTTTCATCACATCTGACGAAAGATCATATACAATTGGTGAATAAGCAAAAGGAAAAAAGGCGTCTAAGTGGTGAGTTTATAGTCAATGGGAATATTTACAGAGCACCAGGAAGCAAACCAATGTTCGGCACAGAACAAAACTGGAAGTTATATGGTTTTAGATGAAGCTAAATGGATATTTAGGTAAGGTTAATAATTGAATCAAGCTGCTAGAATTTCAACCTAATATCACCTTGTAGAAGCTCATTCTAGATCAGTTCAGTAGCTAACAAACCATGTTTTCCAAAATTCATCAATATATCTAGCACTAAGCTAATAAATAAGAACACAAGTATGAACATAAGAGCCCTCACTCTTATCTTCGGTTCAGCAATTAAAGCAAATTTAAGGTTGACAAATAAGAAATCAAGAGAAGGTTTCAACTCAAGTTAGTGCTCGAGGAGGAATCAAGCCAGCCTTGAGCAATCAATTGTAAAACTCAGGCTTGGAATATTAACAACTAAAGTGATTATTTATGTTAGGTACTGAGTTTTCTATACTAAATTGGGATGTCATTATTAAAAAAAATATATGTTATGCAGAAATTCCTAAATTTTAATTTACATAAATTTATCGAATGAATTTAAGATCAAGATTTTGCTGTGCTCAGAAGATATCCAAACTTTCTTCAATTCTCTCGTCCTTTTTTTATAGTCTTTATAAGTAATAATCATATGTAGTTTCCTTTCGATCATTTTAATGTCGACAAGTGGCTTTAGAAATCATTATTGAAACACCCCCTTCCTTAATTCAATGCGTAGTTTGCAAACATTAAATTTATGGAAATTCAAGGCCAATTAATTAAAAGAAATAAACAGTGGTCTTCAAGAAGTGAATGATGGTCAGGTGTATCCAAATAAAATGTAGGAATGTGGAACAGATATTGTCGTGTTTTTGGCATTGAATTACAAATAAATGGCCTCAACCATCCACATGACAGAACTTGCAGAATGCAAAGTTTCTAAGTTAGACTAAATACTGGATATAAAGCTAGGAAAGTGATGCAGGATGAAAGAAGGGACCTGAAGAAGAATTCCAAGAAGAAGGCAGCAAGAAAGGGGGGAGAAGACCGGAGAGAAAGCGGGGAGAACCGGAGAAGAAAACCAGGGGAAGGGAAGGGGAAGCAAGGGAGGAAACGGCTGCAAGCCAAACACAATAACATTTCATTCCATCATCGTCTCCCCGTAATTACAACTGAAAATCATATAAATAGTAGAATAAAACCTAACATTCATGGGCTTGGACTAAACCCCCTAGACAAGTCCAATAAAATGAAAAAAGACATAATTAAATAACATGAAGTAAAAATAAATTGGCCGAGAACATCAACTCTCCTAGGATGGGAGAAAAACTCGACTCTGTTGAGTGGTCAAATCACGAAAGGCTGCAGTAGATATGATACCAAAAATGCTTCAAGACATTCCATGGAGGACGATCTTTCCGACAAATCAAATATCGAAACTCCACAAATGATGACAACGCCAGTTGTAGATTATCCGCAAAAAACATGAGCTGACCAAGATAACCTAGGCGAATGAGGATTTTGTTGACTCTTATAAAGTTTCAAAGAATCTGGCTCGCGTTTGTGAAGTCTCTCTTTGGGAATCCATGTATCATCAGAATCAAGTCGATCCATCCAATAAACAAGAAAGCACTGAATCTCTCTATCATTGGTCAACACAATTTGTTCATCTAAAATAACATCAATTTTATTTTTGTGTGCTGTGATAGGTGGAATTGAAGCAAACGTGGCAAAAGATTCAGCGTGGGAATTCTCATGTGGAAGTAAAAACGGGTAATCGGAGGAGCTAAAATAGCCTTTGTAAGCATCGAAGTCCGTAACAAATAAAATAGGGTGGTGGTCATAATGTGATAAAAGGTCATTTGTGACATATGCATTTGGACCAACATGCTTTGAAATTTTAAAATGACCAGCATTATAACATAATCCCAAATATTAAATTCAAAATGTTGTTTATGCCAATCAGCTTGAGGTTTATATAATGCTTTACTTGCTTCAAATTGTTTATTGATCTCAATATGCAAGCTATGAAAATGTGATACAACTACCTCAACTGACATGGACACACAAGCATGTGGGTGCATGGGAATAAGATCTAAAGGTTTCCTAGATTCACAACCATGGATGACTTCAAAGGGATTTAGACCTAAAGATCAGTTCACAGGATTGTTATATGCAACTTGAACGGTTGGTGGGATCAAGTCCCAATTCCCAAGATTTTTCCGGACTAGAGACTGTAATAAATTGTCAAGATTTTGGTTAGCAATTTTGTTTTGACCATCAGTTTGAGGTTGCCCAGTAGTGGAGAATTTCGATTCAGTGCTAACCACAGGCGACTGGATTCTCCAAGGGTGACTAGTGACATCATCAAGCTCTTTAACTTGGGTAAGGGTATGATGTATAACATGTGATCGAGAACTATCGGAGATAAGGGATATAGTATCTAAAGTCTCGAGAAGTGTCTGGATTCCACCTAAGTGTCCTCACTATCACCCAAGTCATCAAAATCTTCAAGTTTAGGTGCATAAACTAGATCTTCTAATGGCTCATCTATTACATTCTTTCGTTTTTCCATGACTAAGGTTCGATTAGGACATTTGGAAGAAATGTGACCAAAGTCCTTACAGCTGATGCATAGCAAATGAGAAGAAGTCCTTGGAGTTTCAAAAATTTTACCCTTATTGATTGGAAGAATATTAGACGAGGGAGGTCCTAAAAGGGATTTAACGAGAGGAAGTTGAGCCAAGGAAACAGAATGACGATTGTCAATACGCCTTCTATATGGAGAAGAAGGCTTTGGACTATCACGATCTTTACAATTATTTTTCCAAATGGAAGGAACATTGGACGGGGAAGACTTTATGATAGGCTTATGGTGAGATGGAGCGAATGGGATGGGTGAACGACGATGACCATACTTTTCATATGGAGTATTAATAATCAACTCATAATTTCAAGCTAAAGAGTAAGCTTGATTAAGAGTAGTGACACTTTGAAGGAAAAGCTCGCGCCTAAAATCATCTCTCAGACCTTGGCTAAACCTACTCAAAGTCGAGGTTTCATCCTCAATGAAATGACATTTGATTCGAAATTCCTCAAATTGTGTGATATACTCCGTCACTAGTTGATTTCCTTATTTAAGGGCATTCCATTGAGTAAAAATTTCAAAATTATCTCGTTCTCGCTCACGAACCTGATCTCTACCCCTATGATCGTATCTAAAGCATTTTTTATCACTATGTTGATGATGATAATGCCTATTATGGGAAACTTTAAATTTATGAACATCAGTTGAACTAGGGATTTGTTTAAAGTTGTTTAAATTAGAAGATAGAGCCTTACTCTTTTCAAAAGTAACGGTCATTTGAGTTTGAATAGCAGCTATTTGTTGGGTAAGTGCATCAAATTGTGAGGGGTCCATGTTTAAGGTATTGGAACTAGAAGTGATAGGACGACCACTATGCAACTATATGCATTGTATTAACAACTAAATGATGTGCAATAGAGAGATCAATAAACAAAAGTGCAAGCAATGGAAAAAAAAAAACAATTTGAGCATTTTATCTTCTTCTTTTTTTTTTTTAATAAATTTTGAGATTAAAATTATATACAACAAGCTAGTACTGCTGGTATATGTAAAATAATAATGCAATGGTCAAATATTAGTCAAAACCTAATCACATAAAATAGGCAAGTTAAAGTGAGATTTAACGAGGTTAATGGATCCAATTATGTGAGTTTAGATAAAAAAAAAAAAAAATAGGTCGCGGCAGCACAAAAATTCAATTAATGCAATTTCAAAATGAAACAGTAATATAAACCAATAATAAACAAGAACTTCCCTTTCGGTCGTCGAAATAGCCAAGCCAGATCAACCAGAATAAAAGATGTACCTGTAAATAATAGAAAAGACGTTTCTTTTTCTTTTCTTTTCTTTTCTTTTTTTTCATTTTTCTGTCCCCCCCCCCCCCCAATTAATAATCAAATTACACTTTTATATAAACATAAACAAACCCAAATACAATTGAGGCGGAGGATGAAAATAGAGACCAGCATCCCTTTGCTCCAAAATCTGGGGCCCGATTCTTCTGTTGTCTTCCTAAGTCGCAGGTCAAGGGCAGTCGGCAGTGGATTGACAGCAGGTTGGGCTTAGAGATGAAGTCGGCGGTGGCGGATTCTGCTAGCACGGAGTGGTGGTTGAGACGGTGGCTTAAATCGAAGGTGTAGGTTGTTGTAGAGGTTTAAAACAGCTGAAGAGGAGGCGACAACTACTGATTTGGGGGGATGGATTTTGTAATCTTGATTGGTGGCGGTTTGGTAACGGGCCGATGGTGTTAGGTAAGTGACTTCGCACAATAAATTGCTAAATTTTGGTGGTGACGGGTTGTGCGGTTGTAGGGTTCTATTGATTATGGGCGGTTATTGCTTAGTGGGGTTATATAGGTGGTGAGTTGATAGTCAACAGTTGCAGGCAGGAGGAGGTTTTGGATTTTGCTATAACCGGTTTGAAGTATGGTGAATATGAAGTAGGGAGTTTGATTGCAGTGGGGACTGCAGCAGATGGTTGCTAGGAATTTGGTCAGTGTATAGGTAATAGATGAAGACGGCAACGGGGTGGTTTGTATAGTCAGTTAGGTTTCAGTAGATGTTCCGATGAGAAAATTTAAACAAAACCTTGACGAAAGAAACCAAAGAAACCAGTGTTTAGCTCTAATACCACTTTGATGCAGGATGAAAGAAGGGACCAGAAGAAGAATCCCAAGAAGGCAACAAGAAAGGGGGGAGAAGACCGGAGAGAAAGGGGGGAGAACCAGAGAAGAAAACCAGGGGAAGCAAGGGAGGAAACGGCTGCAAGCCAAACACAATAACATTTCATTCCATCATCGTCTCCTCGTAATTACAACTGAAAATCATATAAATAGTAGAATAAAACCTAACATTCATGGGCTTGGACTAGACCCGCTAGACAAGTCCAATAAAGTGAAAAAGACATGATTAAATAACATGAAGTAAAAATAAATAGGCCGAGATGGGCCGAGATGTCCGCATCAAAAAGGTAATATGGATTATGGGAAATTAGTTTACAAAAAATAATCAAAATCCATATTTGCCAACATAATGTACAAGACTTGAAAACATGAAGTCTATAAATAGGCCAACTACCAATGTTAATAAATGCTAGACGATATAGAAAGATGTCCAATGAATAATTATAGATTCAATCCAAAAGTTAAAAGATTTTAACACTCCATGGAATAGGCATGCTCACCATCGAGATTTAGAGGTTCTGATCTTTCATATTTTAGCTTTGTCAAATTCAAATTCCAATTGAAAATCCTTTAACGTAGGGAGTTTAAACAAATTCAAATCTATAATAAATTTTATTTATTTATTTATATTTTTTTGTGCGTGCAAGGACTAAACCTTCATTATTGTCTGAAACTTGGGAATCATATTCCTAGTATTGACATAAGGAACTATCCTATGGGATTTAATACCTCTAAAGTTTCACGGGGATCTTGACATAAAATTCAATTGAATTCCAGTAGTGATTTCACTGTTCAAGAAATCAATTTCAACCCGAAATCGATCTTGAAGGATGAGGTACATATATCGTTCTGGAAGCCAAGTGAATTCCATTTAAAGTGAACCAGAACATATCTCCTTTCATGCATAACAGCATCATATAGTTTTCTTCAAACATACTCAGAAACTATGAAAAGATAGTGTCGATCCAGTCTAAGCAAACACAAAAACACAACACTTGCACTTATATGATAAACTTTGTACAATTAAGATTGGATTTAGTGTCGAAGTAAGAAATCAAACAATTACTTGTATGGCTGCTAACACACCACAAGGCCCGCCTTCATGCTGCACGAGCCCCATAGATGTTTCTGGATCAGGGCTAAACCTAGAAGGAAAGATTTCCCAAGGCATTAGAAAAGCTACATGGACAAGCAAGTAGAACAGGAGACAGAGGTAAATGAAATCACAGAAACAGAATAATGAAGTATGCAGATAACTTGGGTACAATGAAGACATGGTAGCAACAGTAATGTGCTTATGTCAACACATGAATGCATAATCGCAAGCATGTACAACTAGGCATGTTTTATACGTATATAGAAAGGTCAACCATTACAATGTGGATTCCCATAGCATTAGTTCCATAATAATAAATCATAATGAAGTCTATACAAGCCGTAAGGTCAGAAAATGGGATCCAGGATGAATATGAACAAATAACAAGCGATAGTTAGACATACAACATGACTCATGAATATGAGTCAATTTAATCAGCCTCTGTTTGTAAACAATCTCAATAACATAAATGGCTTGATAAGTTTAGATGTTCAAATGTGTCAATTGCCAACTGTAAACAACCCCATTGAGAACAAATATTATGACATATTATAAGCATTTGAAGATGATTGTTGTAAAGTCTTCCGTCTGTGAGCATTTTAAGTGCGTTATCACTGGAAATTTGGAACAGTTATTATGTCTGTCACACCTCACTGTATATCATTCTTACATCACCAGTTAAGATGTCCATGAAAGTTAAGATTTCAAACTTAGAAAATTAAAGCCATTATTTGAATGATACTTTTAGCAAATGCTGTTATTAGAAAGCTTTTTCCTGCTATCTGTCTACTATTAAGAATAAGGAAGAACCTCCAAACACGTTCACCTGGTAAATGAAGATAATTTCAATTGTCTCTCCAAGTCCCCCCTTTTCATAAATTTTTGGTTTTGAAGATCACCTTCATATGTGAGAGAGTTACACCTCTACCAATTCGTAGTTTAGAGTCGACCTATTGATGCCTCTATCAATATTAGGTTTCGAGGTCCCTTTACTCATCGAGAGATTTATTCCTATATCAATGTATAGTTTTGGGGACCACGTACTCATTTAGCGACCTATATCTCTATCAATTATGAGTTTTGAAGTCTACCTACTCAGTCAAAAGTTTACATGTCTATCAATTTATAGTTTTGAGGTCCACCTACGTATTTGAGATATTTACACCCCTACCAATTAATGGTTTTGAGTACCCTACTAATTTGAGAGATCTATGCCTCTATCAATTTTTTGTTTTGAGGTTTACCTACGTGATGATTTATGCCCCTATCATTTAATGGCTTTTAATTCCCTACTAATTTGAGAGAGCTATGCCTCTATCAATTTCGTTTTGAGGTTCATCTACTTATATGAGAGATTTCTGCTCCTACCTATTAATTGTTGAGTCCACGTACTACTTTGAGTGATCTACGTCTCTATCAATTTTTAATTTAGAGGACCTACTCATGTAAGAGATTTACGCTCCTATCAATGTTTAAGAGTCCACCTACAAATTTGAAAGATCTAAGCTTCTATCATTTTGTTTTGAGGTCCACCTACTCGTTTGAGAGATTTATTCCCCTAGAAACCAATGGTTGTAAGTCCCCCTACTAATTTGAGAAATCTACATCTCTAGTTTTTGGTTTTAAGGTACTACAATGTCAAGAGATTTACAGCTCTATGAATATATGGTTTTGAAATCCACCTATTCATGTGAGAGATTTACGCCTATCAATTAATTGTTACGAGTCCTCCTACTAATTTGATAGAGTTACCCCTCTACTAATTCCTTTTGAGCTCCACCTACTCATTCTAGAGATTTGCGCCACCACCAATTAATGATTTTGAGCCCCGCTACTAATTTGAGAGATTTACATCTCTATCAATTTCTTATTTTGAGGTCCACCTGCAATGTGGACACATTTACACTTCTACGAATTTATGGTTTTGATATCCACCTACTCATGTGGGAGATTTACGCCTCTATCAATTAATGGTTGAGTCTTCCTACTAATTTGAGAGAGCTATTCCTCCCTCATGTTTTATTTTGAGGTCCATCTACTCATTCTAGAGACCTACGCCTCTACCAATTAATGGTCTTGATCCCCCTACTAATTTGAGAGTTCTACAAGCACCAAAGCTATTGTCCACACAAACCATACTTGAGCAAAAATAACAAAAATTTTCCAGTTTAGCACAACAATGAAAGCATTCTGTTCGAAGTAGTAAAGTGACTTGATTAATTATGTGTGCACTTTTTCAATTATTAACTTGCAAAGTTTTTTGATGACCATGCCAAAATATATTTAACCCTTGAATTTCATGACACAGACCCAAGCACGCAGCTAAAGATTACAGATTCACAGCATTAAAATCTTATGAAAAGGGGTGAGTTATGACTAGTAATTAATGAGGAAATACATGGCTATCGCCCATAAACAGATACAATAAATAATACACCTTTGTACCAACAACGTTAAAACTAAACCCTGGGCAAAAATCCATTTTTGTGAGTCTCCATAGCTATGTTTCTAAAACCCTGCTTAGCAAAGCAGTGTAGCAATTATTTCCTCTGCTTTTCTTCAGACATCATACCTCAATCACAAAATTTGAACTTTTCTCAGTTACCTTAAATAACTACTCCTATAAAAGTATTCAATCAATCAACAGATTATACTACTCCTATACAAGTATTCAATCAATCAACAGACTATAGCAGAAAGTTACTATCAAGCATATATTCAAAGAGTTAAAACTTCTTATTTAAATAATTTTACCTAATGCCCTGATTACTCCACTGTGCAAGAACATCTTTACTAACTTCATTCCCAAATATCATAGCAAATAGATGGTTTGCTTCCACCGAGGATAACTCTGTCCCCAAATTCCCAATCTTGTCCTTGCATTTCTCCAAATTAACAATCTTATCCTTTCCCTCATCTTCAGAACCACTAATTTTCACTTCCTTCACACTCTCCGCGCTCTTCAGAACAGATGCCGCAGAACTTTTGGTTGCCGACATCCTCTTCTCTGCTGCAGCGGCCATCAATTCTCGCTGCAATCGTCGATTCTTTACTTCCGGTGATTCCTCTGGAGTTTCTCCGGAGTCATCCTCCGGTTTGCTCCTCTTCGGCTCCGGAGATTCGTGCTGCTGCATGCTCATTCTCAACGCCATCTTCAAATCCTCCTCTTCTAGATCCGCCATTTGTAGGTATATACAGTTATATATATATTGACAGATCCGATGAAAAATTCGATCCTTTTGACAAAATACAACTCAACATTTCATCTTTATCTGAATAACTAGGGTTTTCTTTTGATAAAGAAAGCTCAATTCGATTCCTTGATCCAACTGTATATAAATACCTGATACGCGTATATACATACGTATATAGAAATCCAATTCAACTCGAAAAATGGATGGAATGCATCGATTTAAATTGAAAATAATAACGGAAATGTCAGGGGGATGAGAGAGACAATAAAACGACAGCGTATCAGATAAATCTTGATGCTTTTACGCTGAAGATGGAGGGCTTTTTCTCAAATGACTATTGTGTCCCCGAGGAAGGTATACACAGAATACAAAAATGTGCGGTGGAGGTGAGGGTAAGAGAGTAATTTGAATAAATATTGGGATGTCGGGAATGCTTAAGTGCTTATTTGATAGGGATTTTAATAATTGATTTTTTGACCATCAAAAATAAAATGGGTTCTACCTGTGAGAGAAGAGTTCAAAAATGATGATTGAAATAGTAAAATAATAATCAAAAATTAATTTTAATTGACTTAAAATTTGTAACAAACAAGCTCTAAGCCTTAATTCTGACAACTACTTTTTCTCTGTGTTTGGTGCATGTTTGGCTAAGCTTCTTATTATTAAGTAAAAAATATTTATAATATTTATTTTGAAACTTATTAAATAATGATGACAAAAGGAACAAAAAGACAGACCAACTTGACAATTGTTAGTTGGTGTTTGATATTTTTATTTTTCAAATTGTCCATCTATGTTCCAACATGTGTCCCCTCGTTTTTGTATCTATTTTTAGGCCGGTTTTTGTAGCATAATTCATTTACTTATACATGGACTTTCTAAACTTAGACAACCATGTTCTAGAGAAGGGATGTGTAGATGATGCGAAAAATAAATAAATAATAAATATATATATATATACACACACACACACTGTACACATACGGGTTCATAAAAAAGTAGAAACCGAGGTTGAAAAAAATTTTAAGTGTCCATTTTTGGAGATGTTTGTGTTTGTTTCAGCCCAATTCCATCGTTTAAGGCTCCAAAAATTCATTTTTCATTATTCGGGATAATTTTCTTAATTTTTAATTAAATTAGAATTTTAATTCCCTTTAGAGTTTAATTTAATCTTTTATTCTTATCGTTATCTAAAGCTACTCGTTATCATTCAAAATTTATTTACTGCTTTAAATACAATTTGTAATTAATTTTTGAATTAAATAAAGAATCTTGAGACGATTCTCAAAATTATTCTCTCTTTTTTTGTATTCGATCTTTAAAATCAACAAGTTCGAGATTTTGTGATATTTTGTTATTTTCTATAAGCTTCCATTATGTCAGTGTGGTATTTATAGGATAACAATTACTACACAATCCGCATATTATTTTGATAATCTGATTTTAGTAATATATATTACAACTTACCAAAACGAAAAGATTTCCAGCAGTAATTACGGGTGTGAATTATATTTAATTATTCAGCACGTTTTTCTTTAACATATGAAGAATATCATGACCAAAATACAAATGTAAATAGAAAATGAAGAAAAGTCTATTAGAAATAAGACGAGCGTGGAAAAATTATATCCTTGAACTATCAAGATACGTATACCATAAATCACAAATTTGTTGTATTGTTGGGGTAATTGGTATCGTACCAAGAAATACTTGTTGATAAAATTAATGACCTAGTTGATTATATCATTTGATCGTTTGGTATCATCTTGATTCAATATTTATAAATTTCAACTCGCATGTAGATATGTAAAATCCTACAAAACTAAAAGGTTTCGAGATAACAATTGAGAAGACATATCATCAAGCTATGTTCATGGATGTTTGGAACTTCAGTGATTATAAGTTATGTGTTCTGCAAAACATGTATTTAATAAGTGAATAGTCCTATGCATAAAAAAATATATTTGACCGAAAATGATTAGCCTCAATCGTGCAACATTGGCACCTGGAGAGACATCCATCAACACAACGACCATAAGTATGGTGGTCCTTGGTAATTGAGATATCAGACGTAAGCAAAACTTGATTTTATCAAATCTTGAGCTCACCATATCCATTTCAATCTTTACTCGCATGCCAAAGATAGCAGCTAAACATGATGGTCTTAACCTCAAAATACACATAATTCTCAAAGTTCAATCAGTTCTAGTTGCATGAATAAGCACCAATACAAATTGGAAAATAGCGAGTGTAGTATTACACGTTACGACAATTTGGTTAACCTCAGAGAGGTCAGTAACTAGAAGTCTTAATCAGGCTGTCCTTAATGGAGGTGAAACCAAGATGACACCGTCTCCTCTGACAAACAGAAACGGCACTGTACGCCTCGTGGTCTGCAACAATAATCCAACTTAATATCAGAAACCACATACACGAAAACAGTATCAGATGAGCTATTAATTAACCACGAAACTAATTACTAGTTCCTAGTTATTAATTTAACCAGATATACTTCAATTTGTGTCCCAAGGGTGAAATAGCACAATTAGAGCCTTTCCTGCTCACAGGACAATTCATTTTGCTGTTCGCAACTTGTTTTTAATATCTACATTCACGTCTTATTAAAGAACCAATTTGATGGTAAGCATGGGCATTATTTGAGGGGTATCTAATACAATATAAATCAGAGTTGCACATAACTTCATATTCTAGCTGATCAGCGAACAAGATTGTCAATATTCAGATTTCCTTCTCTATCAACTGAGGGCAAATCTGTAATCAAGCACTGAAGGGTACAAGGCTGGCAAAAACATACATAAGGATCAAAGAGAATCGGAACGTATCAAAATAGATATGTAAAAACAGTTCTAAGTTCTAGGACTACCTAATTTTCCCTTGACGGATAATCTCCATTCAGGATTAAGAAAATATGACAGCCGACCCATAGTTCAACAGCATGGCTTCATTTTTTCATTAATTAATACATGCATCCCTATAAAAGGGATGTAACAAGATCTGTCAGGTAAGAATACTTATAATCAAACTTAGTATACCCGTCATCCACAAGGACACTTATTCAATATTCCACCTATTTCAGACATTAGTAGCAATTCTTCATACTGTGAAAACAAAATTCTGCCTTCTATATAAAATGCCCGTTAGTCCACTGAATCTTGATCCCACCACTTGCATCCATAAGTCACTTTTACCCTGTAAAAACTCCAAAATCGCTTTTTGATGTGTCTAACCCTCAATCTGCTTAATGTAACAGTATTCTGTCTCCCTACATACATCACAGCCATGCCACACCCAGAATACTAAGACCACTGGATCTTGAAAGACCAGTTTCAGTGTGGCATGCGGCAGGGGAAATAGGATAGGTTTTTCTTTCTTCCCAAATTATAACCAATTCAGGAGGTGACGTAGTATGTGAAAATCCTTAAACTCATTTTACTAGGAACTGGGTTCAAATTGTACAATCCTAGTTTGGTAATTGTACAACCATACCAGTTTTAACTGGCCGAATTTGTCCAGAGAAGGATTGATTGTTAACAAAAACGGAGTGTCGGTTATGATCCTAATTTCATTTGATCTAAATTCTAGATAATGAACTTCTAAATCAGGTGCACCTTCAATTTTAAGTAGGCAACAAAATATCTAGAAGACTGTTCACAAAATCTGAACTAGTTCACAAATCAATCAAGCCAGACTAATTTCAGCCGTTATTGAAATGATTCTACTTCTAAACTGACCACCACAACAAGTAAGAGAATACATTTATCTGGCTTAGCTCCAAGGTAATGTTGAAATTCAAAACCATGTAAGCCACACTATTTAAATTGTGGTACTACTCTCTTATATGCTTGAGGATAAATAAGGAAAAACTAGAAGAAAAAAGTAAAAATAGAAAATCCATAACATTATAGCATACCCGGACAATCTCCTCGTATGTCTCATCATCAATTTCCACAGATGTAACTATCTCTTCAACATCACCAAGAATCATATTCAAATGCTGATCATAGGCCTGCCAAATTCATATCATAAAACAATATTATGCATGCCACTTTCCAACTAAAAAAGACAACTAAACTACCAAACTTTAAACACCCTCCCAAATCATTAAGAAGGAAAATAATACATGAAACTAATAACAAGAAGTCTTATATTATAATAGACGTTCAAAAACATTTGTTCAACATGCAAAGATGCATAAATAACAATGGATAATAAGCCATGCTAAGGCCATTTAGGACTCTCTTATTCCTGTTGAAGAAATCAAGATTTGTAAATGAATCATTCACTTCAAAGCACACAGTATCACCTCCAATTTTAGTTTTTCCAACACATCAGAGCTTCTTTTACAGATCTTGCTATTACTTGGGACTCATCAGATAGCATTTTGATGCCATAACATTTAAAAAAGTACAAGAAAGTGAGATACATAAAAGAGAGATGCAGAAAAAAATACAAAGAAACATTAATTTTACCTTGACAAGTGATCCCAATTAACGGAAAGATCATAATTAACACAACCCTAATCCCTCGCCCACCTTCCATCAATCAAATTTCAGTCTTTTTTTTTCCTTGCACTCTCCAGTACACTAACAATCATCTCTAACACACGCAACACACACACGCACGCACGCAATAAACATATAGAAAAGAAGAAAAACGGACATGGAGCTTGCCGCGAAGCTCGCGGTCATGACGGAGCTTGACGTAAATGCGCTCATCGAGACTGAGGCGGATGAGGTCCAATGGCTCCTTCACTGCGCTCTCCTCTTCGCTTCCCATTCTTGGATTTTCCTTCCTTTGTTGCTTTGTATTTCGATGAAGAGAATTCCGTACTAATAATAATATTCAACTAAAAACCTAATTTGTCTTGTCTTGTTAACTTCCAGAGCATAAATCCCCTTTTGAGTTGGATGGCAAAAATGTCGCAGATTTCGTCCTGAATGGAGTGGGAATTAATTTGTTAATCTGGTAATCGGGCGGGTACGAGGCGAGAAATTCCGGCCTGGTACATTGGGGCTCATGGGAGATTTTTCGTTTTGCCTAT